GCTGCTACTACAACTTCTGCTGCTTCTACTACTACTACTGCTGCTGCTGCTACCATAATAATGACAATAATTATAATTTTAAATAATATTATTATTGCTACTATTATTGTGACAGAGGTAATTACGTAGGTAATTAATAAAAATCCTGATGAAAAGACTGGCTAAAAAATTTGTTAGTCCGTGCGTGTATTACGGTTTTGCATTGTCTGCTTATTTGTATGTATGTATGTTTGTCTGTATGTTTGTTTGTATGCACAGTATGTTTTTGTTTGTATGCATGTATGTTAGATTGATTGTTTGTATGTATGTATGTATGTATGTATGTATGTATGTATGTATGTATGTATGTCGTTTTGTTCCAAGATTGTATTCATATGTATCTGAATGTATGTATGCATATTGTAATGTTTAATCTTGTATGTATGTGCGCATGTGTATGTGTATGTACAGTGGCGAATCTAGACAACTTTGGCAGGGAAGCAAAATTTTGAAAATGTTTAAATTTTGTCAGAGGGAAGGAAAGCCCAAATTTGTGGTTGTGTGGTTGACAACTTTTTGGTTAGGGTTAGTTTTAGGGTGGTTTTTCTGACTCTTAGATGCGCCACTGTGTATGTATGAGTGTGTGTGTATGTATGTGTGTGTGTATGTGTGAATGTGTGTGTGTGTGTAAATGTGTGTATGTGTTTGTGTATGTGTATGTGTGTATGTATGTGTATGTGTATATGTTTATGATCTATAATTAGCGTCTGCTAGGTCTATATATAGGATGTTAATTATGATTTTATCTTTATACTTTGATCTCATGTTTTCACTATTTGTTATTATTATTATTATTATTATTTATTATTATTATTATTATTATTATTATTATTATTTATATTGCAATCATCATCACAACAATTTTTTTTCCATCTCCCAATTGTCCGCGCAGTCGACGCATTCAAAATCGTCATCATTATTTTCAATTTTGCCGCCACTTTAATCATCATCATCCACGTCATCATCATCATCATCGTCATCATCAATGGAATCATCATCAAAACTTCCAAATTGTTTAACAACTATCAATAGGGAATCTAATTGTTTGTCGTTCGTACGACCAGACGACTGACCAGTACATTAATAATAATAATAATAATAATAAAAAAAATAATAATAGTAATAATAACTTGGTATATACTGTGCAATGATGACGAATGTTCTATAAATAGATTGTTTACGTTTACAGCAAATTATGTCATTGTCATTCATCCGTTTATTAGTTCCATTTCTTCCTGCATTCATTCTTTCATCTTATTATTTGTTCGTTCGTTCGTTCAGTCATTCATTTGTTCGTTCAGTCATTCATTTGATCGTTCGTTCGTTCGTTTATTCATTTGTTCGTTCGTTCATTCATTTTTCGTTCAGTCACTTCAATTTTCGTTCAACTTAACTTTCTCAGAGCGTTTTTCCCCTGCTGAGGTTTTGTTCAACTTTTTTAAATTGTTATTATTATCACTCATTCACTCACACACACAAACACACACGCAGACACACACACACACACACACAGACATTGCATATGGTAGGATAGGCTGGGATCTCTTTTGCAAGACCAGGCGACTTCTCAATCACACTAACTCGCTTCCTGATGTCAGAATACTGCTATAAGCGTTTATCGAATATTATTTTTATCTAGTTTTATTTGTTAACCTAACTATTTGCCATTATTTGTGAACCATAGAATCTTTTCACACCATAGAGGATTGTAAACATCCAGTGTAGAGGCTATATAAGGAGTTGCAAATAGTGAATTTAGTAGCGAGGTTTGAAGCAAAGTCGTAAATGTGATTTATGTAGTTAGTTCATAGTTTCTATTACTGTTGGTATTCAAACGTTCAACAAAGTTTGCGCTTGAAGCAGTTGTGTTCATCCATCGGAAATGTTGAACCTACGGAGTAACGAACACTTGACGATCGTTGGAAGCAACAACAACTGCTGCTGGAAGTATAGAGATCTTTGAAGTTTTAACATCTTAATAATAATTAACATCAGTAACTATATGTTCTAGGGCAAATTCTATAATGCCATAAACAGCAATGATACTATTTTACTAGTAGTAGCAGGACAGTAATTTTGCTACAATTTTCAACCACACACATACATACACACCCACGCACAAACATTCACACACACACACTTACTATTAATAAATTTGGTAATTTATTAATTAATCCCTCGAATTAAATTTAACTATTTCTGGGATCTTTTATTTATGATCATGCTGGTTTTAAGCACAAATTAAATTAGTTATATATATATATATATATATATATGTGTGTGTGTGTGTATGTGTGTGTGTGTATGTGTGTGTTTGTGTGTGTATCTGTGTGCGTGTGTGTGTGTGTTTGTGAACATGTGTGTATTCGTGTGAGGATGATAAAGTAAGTACGATAAAACATCGTTATTGCATTGATAATAATAACAATAATTCTAATCAGCGATATTTATAATATATATA